CTCCATGCCGACGTGCTCCTTCTAATAACACCAAGCTCCTCCATCTCCTTCAGTAAGGCCGAAATCTCATCCCGATATTTGTGAGGAATAGGCCTTATCCTCTCACAAATCGGACGAGTCGTCCCAGTCTCGACCGAGTGCTCAGCTTGAGTACAGCGTCCGGGACGTAACACAAAGAGGTCCTTGAACTCCTCACATAGGTCAGCAACTGGTTGTTGCGCTTCCGTAGGGCTCTCACACATATCTGGTAGCCTAACCGTCTCGTCCAGAAACTCTGGGACAGCAAACCGTAAGGGGTCTTGGCATATATCATCTCCTTCGAAGCCATCTACATGCTCCCAAGCAGCTGGGGGCCACTCCTCTCCCTTAATAAGCTCTTTCCCTTTCGGCTTAGACGTGCCGGGAACTCTAGCCTGTGATTCGGCCGGGAGCTTCAAGTTGGCTCTCTCTAACTCCTCATTAGTCATGAGAGGCCCATCCGCTCTCAGGCCGGCACACCCAGTCGGGGCAGAGCAAATATCACAAGGGCGATCGAAGGTGGAGACATCCAAATGGGCAAATGCAGCTGCACATCCCACGCAATAATGTTCTGGCTCTCTCACACAGTCGATTTCTATCTCTTCTTCGGGACAAGGCTTCTCACACCAATCCTGAACAGGCACCGAAGCCGTACCCTTCGACATATCACTGTAGGCCACATCCTCGCCCACAGCCTTGTCCGATGCCTCAGTATTGGCCTTGTCCTCAACCAATAATTTTTCGGTCTGGCTTTCTATATCGACCACACCCGTGACCACCTCTTCTTCGGAGTCAACGGTCTGGACACCTTGCGTTACCAATCTCCCAGTAGTTTCTAACACTTGACGTTGTTGGGCACCCATCAAAGCTATCCTTGGAGACACCGACTCCATCATCGAAGGAGGACTGCTCAACACAGAATCTATATAGGAGGTCGCGCTGCCACCTTGGCAACACCGCCTCGACCGTACACCTCTGTCAACGGCGTCCAATGCATCTCGCATCAACCATGGAATACCCGGCGGGCCTGCCTTTGTATTCCGACCAATAATACGCACCGGTTTCTCTGAATACAATATATCTAACTGAAAATATTTTAAGAAGTCGTGCCCCAGAATCACGGGGAACGCCAACGATTCTACAATAAAAGCTGTAATCAAAAAGGGAATACTCAACTCATCAGCAGTGGAGCGGGCTCTCTCCCCCACCCCCGCTGCCGTAATCAGATTAATCGCTAATGTTGCTACACCAATAATCTTACAAGAGGACTTATCTATTGTGATCAACGACGGCCCATTCACGGGGCTAACTTCGCAGCCAGCAGGAATCACATCACGTGCTACCATCGTGGCACAGCAGCCAGTATCCACGAGGCAGCGAACAGGGCCAACAGACTGAAAATTTGACACAAGTTGTACAGACAAGAATAGACCAGAATCATCTCCAAAAGGGTACAAAGTCAATGTTTTCTTATGATCATCAGGGGTCAAGACTTTAGCGACTGGCGACCGCGGGCTGCTGGGCGGCCGCCCCGCTAATTTCCCTGTTCCGGCGTCACACCCTTCTTAATCTTCTCCAGCAGGGCTGGACGCTCAGACACGAGCGGGACAGGTGTGCCTTAGACCACAGATATAGCACCCTCACTGAACTTCTTATGAGACAGTTGTAGGATGCATGCTTCCCCTCACAGAGCCCGCACGGCATCAGCTGTCTCCTGGGCTGCGTGGGCCCTGCACGCATGTCCTTATCTTACGACCAGGATCTTGTTG